TGATGATCCTCCTACCCTTCTCCCAACAGGCAGCATCTTGCCAGTGACCGTTTATGACCAGCATGGCTTCCGTGTCCTCTTCCACTTTGCTCGGGACCCACTGCCAGGGCGCTCTGATGTACTGGTGGTGGTGGTCTCTATGCTGAGCACGGCGCCCCAGCCCATCCGAAACATTGTTTTCCAGTCAGCTGTCCCCAAGGTGACAGGGCAGACCAGGCAGGCCTTCCTCCCTCAAAATGGTGACTTTAGACTTGGTGGGCAGCCAGCTGTCTGTGAATGGTATCTCTTTCACTGGGGGAACTGGGGAAAGGGTGGGAAGTCAGAGAGATCCCTGAGACTCTGGGAAGGGAGCTGCTTCCTCCTCAGTGGCTGCCTGACCAGCTATCACCTCCTGCCCTCAGGTCATGAAGGTGAGGCTGCAGCCACCTTCCGGCACAGAGCTGCCAGCATTTAACCCCATCGTCCACCCCTCAGCCATCACCCAGGTCCTGCTCCTTGCTAACCCTCAGAAGGTGAGGGCCCAGCTACGACAGGGCAGAGCCCCAGGGTGGTGCTAACTTCCCTTTCCCTGTTCTGACTGCTGAACTTGTGCCATTTGTACCCCAGGAGAAGGTTCGCCTCCGCTACAAGCTCATCTTCACTATGGGCGAGCAGACCTACAATGAGATGGGAGATGTGGATCAGTTCCCCCCACCAGAAACCTGGGGGAGCCTCTAGGACAGAGGGGCTGGAGAGAGGAGGGGCAGCAGGACCTGTACGGCTCATCCTGGTGCTTCTCTCCTTCCTGTGGCCCCCAGTGACTCTTCCCCCTCCCTCTTCCCCTGCTGAGCCAAACCCAGCAGGAGGCTGTGCCTGGGTTTGCCATAGCTGCTGGGACCTCCATCACCAGTGGGAGCCTGGAGCAGGGAGGGCCTGTATGCCCTGGAAGGACTCTGGGGTAAGGGAAGAAGCATGGCTGTGAGGCCCAGCCCTGAACCCTAGCCTGAGGTGGGGTCATCCTCACCTGTCTTTTATGCCTTATGGAAAGGCTCAGCCATAACTTGGAGGCCACGCTGGAACTGGGACCAGCCCAGACTTCCTCTGTGGGAACCCAGTGACTGGGGGTGACGCCCGTGCCCTAGCTGTTTGCACTTGGTGTGTGGTTTGGCTCTTTGCTTTTCTTTTGGAATGGCCCTGTGGTCACAGAGCTGAAGGAGCTCTCCACTCAGCCCCCAGGGTCTCCAGAGGCCTCCCTTTGCTCTCAGGCTCCTACAGGCCATGGAAACTTGAAAGCAATGCCAGAGGACATGCCCCCTGGAGGGCCATGGAACTCCTAGAGTTCCATGCTTCATTTATCAGCTTCTGCTGGGGCCTCCCGTGAGCACCTCACATCTGTCCACCCTTCTGTGGTCAAAAGTAGGGTCAGTATGGGTGGCAGTGGAGTATTTATGAAAATAAAATGACTTTTTCCTGGAGAAGCTGTTCTTGTCACCCTTGAGGGGTAAGGGAGTTAGGGAAGATTCGGGAGTTGGGGCCTAGGGACTGCTCTATAGATCTGTTCCCTTCTCCCACCCATCCTAGCCCCTCAGCCCTGTGCCAGAAGAGGCCCTACTGGGGATCTGTGGCTGCTACTGAGTCACCCAGGAAACACTGGTCTGTGGTGGCCCAGAGCTGTTGTAGCTGAGAATGAGGGGCCACTCGGAGGCCCAGCTGCTGCAGAAGCCGAAAGGAAGCTCCCGGCTACTTACTTCCTCTGCACTCTACAGATGTCTTCTGCCTCTCCCTGCCTACTCCCCTTCCCCTGGTGTGGTAAAAGGCTGTACCCAAGTAGGGTGCAGAAGCTACACAGCAAGGAGAACCTGCTAGTGGGGTACAGCGAGGAGTTGGCTTAGAGCTCCACACTGCAAGAAGACAGCCCCTGCAGTTAGAGGCGCAGGCTGCCCGCTGCCCACTCCTGTGAGCCGCTGCACTGCTACAGGCTCCAGGAAGTTCTACATCTGAGGAAACACTTTCACTTTGTCTCATCTGGCAGTTCCTAATCTGAGGTTGGCTACTAAAACCCTTTCCTTAGATCCTGTGGAGACCTGGATATGACACAGCTCTCTTGAGTCCTACAGGGCTGACACCCTGTCAGGCCTACACTGGACATTCAGAGTGAAGGCATCTCAGCATGGACTGAAAAGCAAAAAGATGGGAGGCAAAGGCCCCACTGAGCCTCCTTCCAACCAGACCCTACAGCATGCTCCCAGCCAGCACCGCTGATGGCCTGTCCTAGCACCCATCACCAGGGACCTCAGAAATGTGTCTCCAGTAGAATCCTGTTAGAGGCCACTGGATGGATGAGGTTTGCCATGGGTTGTGGGACCATGAACTGGGATAGTCCCATGAGTTGAGTGTGCTGACTCCAAAGTCACTGCCTTGCTGTCCCTCTCTAGGTCCCTCATTTGAAAAGACCACAGGGATGGGACCTGGGGAGCCACCCCTCCTCTGGCTTTGTCCTCATCCATCCATACGCACATCTGAGCCAAGTATGGCCTGTCTCAAAACCTGGTAGGAACCTGGGAGAATGGAGGCCAGTACGGCACTCTTGGGGAGCTGGGGGTGTCCCTAGAGTCTGCATCTGCCTTAGCATGGAGACCCTGGGAAGTACTGTTTGTGTCTTAAAAGATGAACTGTGTGACCACACCAGACCAATGGGACTTCCCAGACCTGAAAGCCACATTTCCACTTCTGGGACACTGACCAGAGCCAGCAGTACATTCTGCAGTAACCACAGAACAGCTTGCTTATCTGTGATGAACCCATGAGTGATGTTGACCCCTCTGCTACCCTGGGACACTTTCTGTGGCCTCTACTATCCCTGTAGGCCAGCTGAGGGGAGCCACCCACCCTGGCATGCTGCAGGGCCTGCTGCCTGCAGGCTCCCTGTCACCGAGTCCTCAGAACTGTCCCAAGAGCAGGAGACTGGACCACCTGTCTAGAGGAAGTAGCCATCAAGATGGTAGCCATTAAGATGGTAGACTGTTGTAGCCTCCTGAGCCTGCTCTCTAGAGTAGGCACCTGGCCTGCTTTGCTCCCAGCTGAGATCAAGAGCACACATTCCCCCAGAGTAAGCTAGCAGCAGCAGGAGGGAGTCCACCCCAGGGTTCCTGGAAAGGCCTTTTGAACTGTGGAAGTGGGGGTGGGTAAGGGAGTTACCAAAGCCCCAGGAAAACATACCTTGCCTCCCTGCTGTGGGCAGAAACCACTTGGAGGCTTTCTAGTATTGCCACAATCAAGCCATGTGGCAGCGTCTCAACTGGTAGGATGAAGCCAACAGCCTCCACCCCAGCCTGCCTACTGGCTGCCCTGACCACATCCGCTCAAGTCTCATTAGCAGATGCCACCCAGACTGTCAAAGCCACTGCAGGCAAATCTGTGGAGAATGGTCAGTTCCTCAGTGGCCATTGTGGAGGCAGGAGCAAAGGCCAGCCTTGAAGGAGTTTCTAGGCAACGCCATGTACACAGCAGAAAGACAGCAGTAATGGCTCTTTAGGAATGCCTTCTGACCTGGCCTCTACCACACAATCAGCAGGTGTGCACATCTGGTCTAAGAGCCTGGATCTGCACATCTGCCAAATGAAGGCAAAGATACCAACCTTAGGGAAGGATGACCCAAGGGACACACCAGTAAATTCTATCCTAAGACAGCCATACATATTTCAAGGGCATTTAAGGTGGGGTAGCCAAGGCTCTTCTCTCCAGAATTTTTGGTGTTTGAATAATAACAGCAGACAATGCCAGGCGCTTTTCTGAGAGTTTTACATACTAATTTCTGTAATCCTATTAAGCTGTGTTGTTTGTGGCGAGGGGTGAGCTGTCTTTTTTTTTTTTTTTTTTTTTTTTGGTTTTTCGAGACAGGGTTTCTCTGTGTAGCCCGGGCTGTCCTGGAACTCACTCTGTAGACCAGGCTGGCCTCGAACTCAGAAATCCTCCTGCCTCTGCCTCCCAAGTGCTGGGATTAAAGGCGTGCGCCACCACCGCCCGGCGGGGTGAGCTGTCTTATCCAAAGTCATTCAGGTTGTGTGCTGGTGAGAGGCATCCCCCCAAGCCAAATGGCTGTTCCTTCGGGATGTAGGTAATCACAGATCTGGTATGATCTAAGCCACCACACTGTAGCACTACGCTGCTGAGCCCTAGACGGCTAAGCCAAGAGATAAGGCGAGACAGGGTAGTTCTCCAGCCCACTGGCTCAGAGTTTAGGGAAGGGCCCAGGGAGGGGTTGACTAGTGACCTCAGAGGTACTTCTGTACAGTTCTAAAGTCCATGATCCTTTGAGTGATTCTCGGCTGCATATCCCTGTAATATCTACTACTGGAGAGGCAAGAACATGGCAAGTGTAAGACCAGTTGGGCAACTCTGTGAAAATGGTGCTTTCGCTCCCTCTCCCTGTCTCTCCCTGTCTCTGTCTCTGTCTCTGTCTCTCTCTCTCTCTCTCTCACATACACACACACACACACACACACACACACACACACACACAAGGGCTGGCAAAACAGCTCAATGCGTAAAGGTTTTTGCCATCACGCATGAGAACCTGAGTTTGACCCCTGGAACCAACATGGTGGAAGCAGAGAACTGACTCCCGTATACTGTCTGTCCTTGTATGTGATGTTTACACACATGTGCGCACGCGCACACACTAAATAAAAATTGTGACTAAGGGAGCTGGAGAGCTGGCTCAGAGGTTAGAGCTGCTCTTGTAGAGATGCAGGTTCGATTCCCAGCACCCACATGGTGGCTCACAATAATCTGTCCTCCACAGGCATCGCATGCTTCTGGCACGCAGACGTACATGCCGGCAAAACACCTGTACACATAAAATTACACTTTTAAAACGTTTAGATGTTTAAGAAAAAGTGAAAAGGGAGCTGGGGCTGGTACTTGGTGGCAGTGCACTTGCCAAGCCTGCATAAAGCCCTGGATTCAGTCTCTAGTACAAGACCAAAATACATATCCCCATAAAAGAGAGCCCGGCCAGCCGTGATCCCAGCATTTACTAATCAAAACTTCTGATTACAACATCCTTTAATGGAATAGCTTAGGATCCAACCTTCAGGGCTTCCAATCTTCAATGAATGATTCAACACCCAGAGAAGTACAGCGACTTTATCCAGTCAGATCCCGAAGATCCCGAGGTCTGGCTGCAGAGAAGGCTAGAGCTGGAGACAGGGAGGGGCGGGGCAAGAGCTTGGATGGGTTGATAATACACTCTGGTCATTTCTAAAAAAAAAACAAAAAAACAAAAAAGAAACATGCCATTTCAGCCAAGGGAGCTGTCCCCTCCCAGGCTAGTTAGGACTAGGCCTGGACAAGCCTGGGAGACAGGGAGTATAAGCCGAGCCTGCCTTGAGGTCCCTTCCAGACCAGCCCTGGACATGAAGGCAGAAGCACCGCAGAGATCAGACTTCCCTAGAGGCAAGAAAGTGCTACCTGGAGCTGGAATCAGTCAGCTTCCTAAGGCTCACCCAGGAGAATGTACCCATTGCCAAGTCAGGGAAAACTGAAACCTGAGAATGTTCTGGGTTGGACCTGGATGAAGGGAAAGAAAAAGGGCCAGGCTAGAAACAAGACATTACAAGTCTTACACATTAGGAGACCAGGTCTAGCCTGCTCTAGTGTCTCCCCAAGGCTGGCCCTTATCTAGAATCTTTTGCCATCTCCTCTCCAAACACTGGTCAGCAGCCTTCCCATTGAGAAAAGAAAGGTAAGGAACCTGCCCTGCTGTCTCAACTCCACCACAGAGCCAGGATTCCACCAAGGAGAAGCCATTCCTGGCCAGGATGTCCTGACTGCTGCTGCAGCAGTTACTGGGACCCCGCTGGGCCTCCCAGCCTCAACAGGACTTCTTAAATGAGTCAAGCAGGCTACCTGCTCCCAGTAAGTGACCACCATGTGCCAGGCCTGTGGTAGGTACAAGGAGACATCTGGAGCAAAGGGGATGTCTTCTAGAAGCACACCAACTCTCTAACCCCCACACAGTAGGTGCTCAAGTGGTATGGCTCTGAACTGAAACTAACAAAGCAAAGTCGCAGTGTGGTGCTCAGGGCTTCCTGTACCCATCTCCTCCCCACCCCCCGTCACAAGCCTGAAGGGTGCTCACTGGAGTCAGCTTGCTGTTGCCTACGGGCTCTCTTACGGTACCTATGAACACCTACTGTATGCCCAGGCTGGTTTCAGCTCAGCATTTCAAAGAGAAAACTTCTATCGGGTTTGGGAGTTCAGAGCAGCACCCATATCAAGGCCTGACAAGAAGAAAGGGCAGGGACCAAGGACATATGGTAGAAGAAATGAGAAAGAGGTTTACAAACAGAGGAAGCCGTCCAAGCTGAGGACCCTTAAAGTCTGGAGCGACAGGAACTCTAGGGCAGAGAAACAGGCCAGCAGGCCTGGGTATTCTGTTTACCCTGTGGCATAGACTGGTTCAAGTCAGTTGTCCTATACACTATACACAACGAATGAAGAACTTTGGGGATGGATCCAAGGACGTTGGTATCTGGTGGTCCTAGGTACCCCAAGTTTCGAGCCAGTGGTTCAGCAGGCATAGGGCATAGGCATAGAGAATGGTATGGTGGAGAAGAAGCCTCCAAGGAGCATCCCCTAGTGACTAGCCTGCACAGGTCCTGAAGGCCTGTCCCTGGCCTGTTTTCTAGGCAGCCTTCTTTTCCTTTTAAGAGAGCAAAGGTTGTTTATACCCAGGGCGGTGGTGGCAGGAGCAGCTTACCTGCTTACCGCCACCCGCCGCAGCGGCGGGGCAGGGTGCGGGAAGGAAGAGCCCGCACTCAACTGCGGACCGCAGAGAGACAGACCGATGGACACTCGTAAGGCGGGTCGGACAACCCGAGGGTCGTTGAGGCCCGGAAGCAGCAAGAGAGCGAGACTCCAAACTTGGAGAAAGGAGTGACCTGGGGGCCGGGGGCGGAGTCGTGAGCGGGGGAGGAGAGCGCCCGCGCCAGCACCAGCCAGAGGAGCGCGCCGGCCCAGGAAGCCAGAGCGCCGCCCACCCATCCGGGGCGAAGCGCGCTGGGAAGCAGGCTGGGCCGGGGGCTGCCAGCCTCAATCCCCTAGGTGACTCCTCGGCCCCCAGCCCGGACCCAAGATGATGAAGAGGCAGCTGCACCGCATGCGGCAGCTGGCCCACACAGGCAGCTCAGGACGGTGAGTGTCACCCTCTTCTAGCCGTGCTGTGGTCTCGCAGGACCTGAGCGGGCGCAGGAGAGTGGGGAACCGGTCAAAGAGGTCGAAGGCATCTGTGCAGCGGCCCTCTGGCATGCCAGAGCCCTGACCTTGCTCTCTGGGGTCTGAAGCTACTGTGGTCGCACAGGCATAGCTGGCTTTTGCGGAGGTGGAGGGGGGAAGGCACCTCCATTCCCGGTTGGAGAGGCTGCAGAGAACAGAATGCGCCCTGAGCCAGGACACTGCCTGGAACCTCATTTGTCCCCTCCGGACAATGGGAACAGTTAACCACCTCTAACTGGAGGGAAGGGGAGGAATAGAGCCGATCCGGGGCCCCAGACCCTGGGGGAAGGGACTGGCAGTGTTCTGGCCTGGGGAGGAGGGGCTTGCTCTGCTCTGGGTGTCCTTCCCCTCCCCCAACCCAGGGGCCTCCTGCCATTTGGTCCTGCTTCTGCTTTTCGCAGGCTCAGGTAGATTCACCCCTTGGTCTCCTCGGTCCCCAGCTCCAGAACTATGGGAGCGGAAGTTTGGGGAGTTTCTCGGAGCCTTTCTTTCTGTCCCTCTTCCCCAGCCTGGGAGTTCCCCATTCTTTGAGCCCTGAGAGGTGACTGTGTATCCAGAAACTTGATCCAGTCCTACAGTGACACAAACATTTACATGTACCTACGAAGCCAAGCCACTTTGCTCTGAACCCATGTCCTTATGTATCCTTGGGCAGAGTCCCCAGACCTGCTCACAGCCACGGTCCAATGTCGTATGCCTGTGGGCCTGGCCACCCCAGAGACCAGCTTCCACACTTCCCGTTCTGGGGGCCAGCTTAGACTTTCTCTTTCCGGGCCAGGCAAACAATTTGGGGGATGGGGAGATGAGAAACTTTTCCTCTGTCCCAAAGTTGGGCCCTGGGTAGCTCCCTCCTGCTTTTTTGGTGTCATGGGTCCACCCTCTCCCAGGACACAGCCCTGGGTGGAGGAGGAAACAGGCATCCATCCTCTTAACCACCATGGAATGTGCTTCAACTATGATATAGACGGGCCACCCAGGCTTGGTGGGTCCTAGAGGCAACTTGGGCTCAGGTTCCATACCAAGGGTTAGAGGGAGGCAGTGGGTTTCCTAACCCAGATTGACTCAGCAGAAGCCCCCTTCCCCCACAGCACCCCGGAGACTGCCGAGTTCTTGGGTGAGGACCTGCTGCAGGTACGTGCCTGGGCGGGCTGGGCTGGGCTGGGAGGCAGGCCTGTGCAGGCTGTCAGTATAGAGCCTGGCAGGCAGGGGCAGCAGTCAAGGGCCTGGTTGTGTCATTCCCTGCTGGCCAGAGGAGGTCCAGGAGGGAAGAGAAAAGTGATTCTTGGGGAGACAGCAGAGCAATGAGGACGTGCCCCTCACAATATACGATCCCCACTTGCCCCTCCCCTGTACCTCCCAGGTAGAGCAGCGGTTGGAGCCAGCTAAGCGAGCAGCCCACAATGTTCACAAACGGCTGCAAGCCTGTCTGCAGGGCCAAAGCGGGGCTGACATGGACAAGCGGGTGGTAAGTGGGGTCTCTGGGAGGAGAGACCTGTGAGGGAATGAGGCCTTCTGGAGGGGTCTGCAGCTTCTGAGCTTTGCTCCCAGCTAGTAGGCCCCCAGGTGGTCCAGGTGGGCGGGACAACCATCTGAGCTGGATGGAGGATGCTCTCTGTTACCCAGCAGGCAGCTTTTATTGACTCCCGCTACTCTGTTGCTAAGACTGCTGATGCATTGTCTCCCCCACTGCTGGCAACAGCCCTGGCAATAGTCCCTTGTGAAAGTCACTTGTGTAAAATGGGAAACCGAGACCTAAATTTACTAGCCCAAGACCACACAGGTAACAAGTGACAAAAGTGGCTCTGGGGTCCTTCTGATTGTAAATGTAGTGTTTTCTATAACTCCCGGTGGAAGCCCGGGGATGGTTAAAAATTCATGTGGCTGGAACTGGAGGGTCCCCTCAGCAAAGCATTGCTCTTGCAGAGATCTGGGTTCAGTTCCTACCACCCATGTCATTCACCACTCTCCAGTCCCAGGGCACCCTCTTCAGTCTGCTGAGGGTACCAAGCATGCTTCCCCCAAACCCCCACCCCAGAAGAGAGCCTGGCTGTGAGGCAAGAAGAAACCCTGACCCAGAGAGTGACCAGATTAACCACCTATGCCATGAGGCTAGGAAGGAGTTAGGGCCATCTCACCCCCACCCCAGCCACAAGGCCCCTCCTGGCAATGGTGTAACCTTGGGACAGCTTACTGCTCCCTCCTTCCCTCTACGTAGTAGTTTCCTGTCTCCCTGGGATTGATCATTCCTCTTGTCCAGTCAAGTAAGGGAGGGTGGGCGGGATCCCAGGTCTCCGAGAGATTGTGCACGCATGTTGGAACACATGGGGGGGGGGGGGGGGTGGGGGGCGCACACACCATCATTGTCATCCAGTTTCCACTCTTACCTATGACTGTGGCTCTTCCCTCTGCTGAGGTGTGGGTTTGGCCAGGTGCTGGGCTCAGGCAAGGTGGGGGAAACTGGTAAACTGAGGCTCACTCACCTGCCCTCCCTGCAGAAGAAGCTTCCTCTCATGGCTCTTTCTACCACGATGGCTGAAAGTTTCAAGGAACTGGATCCCGATTCCAGCATGGGGTGAGCATGGGGTGAGCATGGTTGGGGCTCTTCACTAGAGAATGCCAGGAAGCAAGGAGGGGGTCAGATCAGCCAGGGTGTCTGCTTCAAAAGGATGACCAAGCTGGGAGAAATGCCCAGGTCAGTAAGACCCAAGAAAGCAGGAAACAGAGGCTGGGACCTTCAAGTGTTCCAGGTAGGGGTGAGGGACCAAGGCTGCCTTTCCCATTGGGAGTCTGTGTCCACAGGAAGGCTTTGGAGATGAGCTGTGCCATCCAGAACCAGCTGGCCCGGATCCTGGCAGAGTTCGAGATGACCCTGGAGAGGGACGTCTTGCAGCCGCTCAGCAGGCTGAGCGAGGTGACTGCACCCCACCCTCCCAGCTTCCCCAGCCTTCTGCTGTCCCTGCCCCCACCAGACCCCTGAGCCCTCCCTGTGCCTGCCCTCAGGAGGAGCTGCCTGCCATCCTTAAGCACAAGAAGAGCCTTCAGAAGCTGGTGTCTGACTGGAACACCCTCAAAAGCAGGTGGGCACCTGAGCCTAGGTCACGTCATAATGGGACTCTGCAGGCCCCACTGGGTACTTGTGGTCACACTGGTCCTTGAGAACACACGTGGTAAAGGCACATATATATTTGAGGGTGTGCCTGTGCTCCCCTGTGCCACAAGTTGTGACCCCAAACTAGGAAACCCACTAGTCTCCAAAATCCCCCTAAATGGTTCCAGGGCTCCTTCCTATGCTGCATTCTGGAGCTGAGTAGTTGTGATCTCCAGGAACACCACCAGAGGGAGGCCTAGAGCACTTTGGCCTAGTCCAGGCAGAGGCCCAAGGAATTTCTATTTTGCCTCTATAAACCCTAGAGTCCTGTGTGATTACGTGTGTGGAGGGGACACTTAGCTCTGGCCATGCAATGGGGCCAGTGACCACCCACCTTGGGACCCTCCCCAGGCTCAGCCAGGCAGCCAAGAACTCAGGAAGCAGCCAAGGCCTGGGTGGTGGCTCAGGCAGTTACACCCACAACACCACTGCCAACAAGGTGGAGATGCTGAAGGAGGAAGAGGAAGAGCTCAAGAAGAAAGTGGAACAGTGCAAGGTGAGGTGATTTGGGATGTCTGCCTAGACCATAGGTGTGGGTCCATTTTACAGACGGGAACATTGAACTGCCAGAGCAGCACTGAGTTTTAAGCCCAGGCAGTTGGGGGACAGAGTCTACATAGTGGGGCACTACCCAGGACCTCTGCAGTACTTACCATGTGCATTAACAGCTGGTATGTGGTTGTTTGCTGGACGCTCAATGTTTAATGAATGAATGAATGTGTGGTGTTTGCTGAGAAGTGAATGAATGATGTTCACGGAGAGCGTAAAGCAAGAATGAATGAAAGTGATTGGATGGTGAGTAAGAACACACCGTACTAAGGATCTGAGGACCTAGCGTAACCGGAAGCCTCAAAAATTTAAGGGGCTCCTGTGGGCTGGCCCTAAATATAGACCCTGGCCTGGGCGTGTTTCTATCCCTCCCAGCTGTGAGCTTCTCTGTGGGATCTCCAGCCTCACCTGTCCTCTCCCTTCTGTCCCCAAGGACGAGTACCTGGCTGACCTCTATCACTTCTCTACCAAGGAAGACTCATATGCCAACTATTTTATCCATGTGAGTTCACAGTCCAGTTCCAGCCACCTGAAACTCGGGTGGATGCCACGGGGAAGCACCTCTCAGAAACCCCAAGAGATGGTAGCTGTTCTAGAGACGCTGGGAAAGTCCCCACTTCCCTCACATGTCCTTGGGGATGGCCTTTGTCCCCACAGCTCCTGGAGATTCAGGCTGACTACCATCGCAAGTCACTAACTTCACTCGACACAGCCCTAGCTGAGCTGAGAGACAACCACAGCCAAACAGGTAGGGACCCGAGTGAGCCAGCCTCACACCTCTGACCCTACTATGCTAAGGGCTCTGTAAAAGTTTGCCCCTTAGCCAGGCAGAGTGGCAAACACCTTTAATCTGGGCACTTGGGTGGCGGAGACAGGTGGATCTGAGTTTGAAGCCAGCCTAGTCTACATAGGGTTCCTGGACAGCCAGGATGCTACCCTGACTTGAAAAAACAAAAAGAAAAAAAAAGTTTGCT